GTGTGGAAGTGTTCCCTTCACCTTTGACCTCCTCCCAATCCTCAAAAGCATTTATTCATGTTTTATACTCTTTATGACAGCCTTTATGGTTGGCATGAAATGCAATCTCAGTGCAGTTTTATTTATTTTTGTATTTAGTACAGGGTCTACAGGGTGTCACTACATAGGTCGGACTCATATTGATCCTCCTGTTTTCAGCATCCCAAGTGCTGGGATTACAGGTGCAGGCTACAGCGCCTAGTCTCAATAGCCATCTCAGCACACCCTGTGGGCAGGGCCAGCACGATACACCGGGGATTAAACCCTGGCCACTGTGCTCTGCCTAAGCAGGTGCTTTAGTCTGCTGAGCTATCTGGCTGGCCTGCCCCCAAGGATTTTTAAAAGTTATTATGCACAGAATTGTTTTCCAGATTTCTTTCTCACTAATCCATTATTGGAGGATAAAATCACTATTGATTTTTAGCCAGGTGTAGTAGCTCACACCTATAAACACTCAGGAACTAAAGAAGCAGGATTTCCTTGAGTTCAAGGCCAGCCTGGGCTACATAGTGAGTTCAAGCCCACCCTGAAATACAGAGTGAGACCCTGTCTCAACCCCACCCCAAAATGGTATTAGAATAATTGCATATCCAAATGCAAAGAAATATACCTTCACACTATGTTTAGGGCTAAAAATAAAAAAAAAAAAAACTTCTAGAAGCAGGATAGGATAAAATCTCTCCCCCCCTTCCCCCCCCTCCCACTGGCTCAGCCTGCCCGGACGGAGGGCAGGCTGGTGCAGGATGTGGTGCCAGGGATTGAACCGGGATCCTGTGCACTTGCCTGAGCTTGCCTAAGCAGGCACTTTAGACTGCTGAGCTATCTTGCCAGCGCAGGATAGGACAAAATCTTTTTTTTTTTTTTAGCTCCTGTCCAAGAGAGGGACAGGAGAGCGGCCCGAGTGGGTTGTTCACCCTAGGACAAAATCTTAGTGACCTCAGATTAGACAAAGATTTCTTAAATAGAGAAGAAATTGGCCAGATAGCTCCACAGATTAAAGTACCTGCTTAGGCAGGCTCAGAGACAGGGGTTTGATCCCTGGCATGCCATGGTGGCCTCACCCCCAGGGTGTGCTGAGACTGGGCTTGGTGGAGCACGCCTGTAGGAGGATCACTATGAGTCCAATCTGTGTAGTGAGACCCTGTAGACCCTGTACTAAATACATTTAAAAAAATCTAAAATTCATCTACTTCAAAACTAGTTTGGCAGTTATTTAAACATCTCATACAAACAAAACAAAACAAAATCTCATACAACTCAGCCATTCCAATCTCAGGATTTTACTCAAGAAAGCACACAACCACATCAAAACTGACACTCAAGTGCTCCTGCCACTTTATTTGTAATGGCCAAACAGGACAACCAACAGTCTGTAAGCCAACGAATACACAAACAGCAGTATGTTGATAGGAGGGAAGACTGTTATCCAGCATAAGGGACAAACTGCTGATACACAGAGGGATAGTAAATCATTTCCTAGAAATAGAAACAAAGATAAAAGAAAAAAAAACTCCAAAGAATTACAAAATCATTATGCTGAAGAAAAGTTAGGTAGACAAATCACTTATGGTGTGGTTCCATTTATATAAAACAGGCAAGTTTTTCATAACAAAAGTCGGGATGGCATGTGCCTAGGGCAGGGTTGAAGCAGGAGTGGATGACACAGATGGGAAACTGAGGGGTTGGAAACCCTCTCTGTGCCTGGCCATGCTTTCCCAGGTGCACTCACTCATTGCAGTGGACTTTCTGCCCTGACTGCAGGGGGCGCTGTGTTGACTATGGCTCAGTAAGTGGATGGCATGATATTAGTTCCAGCACGAGATGCAGTGCTTGAAAGAACTCGTTAGAATCTGTGGTGGGTTTTTGTTGCTTTTTTGTTTTTTGGTTTTTTTGAAACAGGGTCTCACCATGCAGTTCAGCTGGCCTAGGACTATGTAGCCCAGGTTGGTCTCCAACTCACAGCAATCTTCCTGTCTCAACCTCCTGAGTCCTGATATTACAGGCATGTGCTATCACACTTTGCTGAATCTATCTTTATAAACCCTACAAATTACTTTCTTAAAAGTTATTTTATCTGTAAGAATTATAGTCCTTTGGAGTGATCGAAGTATTTTATCAGTGCCATCTCATTCCTACCCAACCATCTGTTGACCCTTCAGTTTTGAGAGTATGTGTGTTTGCTGGTCCCTGTGCTTGGTTTTGCTCAGTTTACTAACAAGCTCTTGGTGAATTCAAAGTCAAGAGGGTTGTAAGTTGCCTTTGGCTGATTTGGGAGCAGCTTGTTTTGTTTTAGACCTGTCAGGCTGGCATTTTCTACAACTTTTTCCTATCTGTACTTGGAAAGGAAAGGTCACCTCCAGTGCAGAGGAGGGATGCAGGCAGGAAGATGCTGACCATCCACCCAGTCTGCAGCGGACTTGCACAGGAGGCTGAACGGAGCAGAAAGTCACTGGCTTCCATGTTTGCAGAGCTACAGCTTTCTAGATACATGGGCATAAAACCGTAGATGACAGCACTGCAATGATCTCATTTCCCTCACAAATTTACGGGAATTAAGAGAAGTTTTAGTATATTTATTGGGGTTTTTTTTTTTTTTTTTTGGTGGTACCAGGGATCAAACTCAGGACCTTGTGCTTGCCAGGCAAGCACTTATTCCACTGAGCTATCTCCCTGGCCCTGGTTTTCTGAAAATCAATTTACTTTTCGTTTTATTAGTACATATCTACAGCATATAATGACCACACTCACTGTGGGATGTTGATACATGCACATAACATATCCCACTTAATTTTTTATCCCCTTCCTCTCTCCTCCTTTCCCCCTTCTTCCCTTTCTTGGTCCCCTTCTCTTCTGCAAACTATTTCTTATTGTCTATGAAAATTAACTTAGGTATCGATAGCCTTTTTTTTTCATTATTGAGGACTGAGCCCAAGACCTCTCACATGCAAGGCCAAGAATTCTAGCATTGGGCTACATCTCCAGCCTTTTAAAAAAAGAAAACTTTAAGGCAGAGTCTTGATAAATTACCCAGGTTGTGCCTTAACTTGGGATCCTCCTGTCTCAGCCTCCTGACTAGCTGAGATTACAGCCACCATGTCTGGTTTACAGGCAGTCTGCTCACTTTATGATTTAATAATAGAAACACTAACAATTATCCAATATTTATAAGGATAAAGCCACAAATATTGTTCACAACTGTCTTACTTTCTCATTGCAGGGACAAAATACCCAACATCTACCAGTTAAAGGGAGACAAGTTTGTTGTACTTCATCTCAGTTTGTAGGGGTTTCAGTCCATAGCCGGCTCGCTCCATGGCAGAGCAGCATGGCGGAGGGGTGTGGCAGACCGACAGTCCGTGGAGGGCAGGCAGGAAGCAGGAGGCAGCAGCAGCCAGCCTTCCTTTCTCTATCCCATTCAGGCTGCAAGCCTTTTGGATGGCACCACCCATACTCAGGGTGTGGCTTCCCACTATCCACACTCAGACCTTTGCTAAATCAATCGGTGGCCTGACTTGTCACCCCACACCCTTAATCCACATTCACGCAGAAATCCAGCCACCTCTGAAAAGTTCCACCTGGGAGTGCATGAGGCTTTAGAAGAGATAGATTTCAACCATAACAACCAAATTTACTTTTTTCTGCATTTTCTTTTTCATTTATTTATTTATTTTGTGTGTGTGTGGCCAGCTCAGCCCACCAGGGGGCGGGGCTGGCTGGCATGTGGTGCTGGGGGATTGAACCGCGGTCCCTGTGCTTTGCTTGGTTTAGCTTGTTCTAAGTAGGTGCTTTAGATCACTGAGCCATCTCACCAGCCCCTTCATTTTCTTTTTCAAATCAGGTTTACTGAGCTAGAATTCACTGCCATGCAATAACCATTCACACATAGAGTGAACAACTCAGTGGTTCTTAGTATAATCAGAGTTGTACAACTATCTTTACAATCTAACTTCAGACTTTTATCACCCCGAAAGGAAATCTTTTACCCACTAGTAGTCATTTCCCAGTCACGCTCTCCCCTCCTCTGAGCCCTAAGCAACCAGCAATGTATCTCCTGTCTCTATGTAGATTTGCCTATTTTCGATATTTCGTATCAATTATATCATATAATGTAATGTTTTGTGACTGGTTTCTTCCACTTTGCA